TCTGTGCTGGAGATTAGATCGCTCTTAAGTGGCTACTAAAGCACCTGATTTGGGGCATATAGCCAGAGTTGAATGGTAGGTTTTTATTTCATTTATGTCTTTCATCCATGATTCTAGTCACTGGACAAAAATGATAAAGGAATAAAGCTAGGAATATATCTGGGTCCATCCCCAGATTCAAATGATCACTTGACCTCTGAAACAGCTTAGTTAACTTCTTTCTTAGTTTCTCTGTCCATTAGATGAGGATAATGATCCTGTATAACGATCTATCTAATGGAGAGGAAGTTTAATGGATTAAATGGAGTGGTGCCTTGAGTAGCCTTCAAATCCTGGCTCTCAAATCTGGAAGGGAACTCAAACGTCACGTGGTCTAAGTCCTCAGCTTTCACAAATGAGGCAACTGAGAAGAACATTTTTACACAATTCCAATGATCCCATCACTTTGTCAATGCTAATTTATAAAGGCTCCCAATGTTTCATTTACAGAAAACACATTGCATTCTTCATATTAGTAATTAGAAGAGAAGCTAAGGGAACTGCCCAAAACACACACAAACCAAACCAAAAGAAATAAACCCTGGAGTACAAAGATAAGAAAGCAGAGCAGAAACCATATTATATATATGTACACACACACACACACACACACACACACACACACATTTGTATTAATTTCAGAGAGGAAGGGAGAGGGAGAGAGAGATAGAAACATCAATGATGAGAGAGAATCATTGACTGGCTGCCTCCTGCATGCCCCCTATTGAGGATTGAGCCCACAACCTGGGCATGTGCCCTGACTGGGAATCCAGCTGAGGCCTCCTGGTTCATAGGTTGATGCTCAACCACTGAGCCACCCTGGCTGGGCAGAAACGATATTCTAATGTAAGCACTTCTGCTCCAGCTCTCCCTCCCTCCACAGCACTTGGAGATTTCCACTGTCACTGTAGGTAGCTGTCTCGTGCCTTTGCCGTGCCTGGAAACAGAAGGTGCCTGGCCTAGCTTTACTCAAAGTTCTGGTGGCACAATAATACTCTACAAAGCCATGATGCTGGAGATGTAGAATAATGCTTGGACTTTATCGATAGAGGAAGAGGTTCCCATAATACAAGCCAGGCACTTTCACAGAGGTTGTTGCCTTGTTACAATGACATGCTCCGCCTATGAGGTGCTCAGCTCACCAGCAACACGGAGGCGCCTATCTGGATCAAAGCAGGTGGGGGAGACATTCCCACCCTGAGCATAGACTATACCAGATAACCCATGAAGTTAAAGAAAATACCTGCCATGCCTTGAAGAAATCAGATCAAGCCTAATAAGAATCAGCTGGTAGGCTCTCCCTAGTTCCCCTAACCTAGTCTCTGTTTGCTTCTTGTTCTCGGAAACCTGCAATCATAGCACATTGTCATCAAACAGATGAATAAGTGATAGGAAACTAAAAAAAGAGGAGAGCACGTAATGCATTTCCTGGTGTTTCCCTGAAGGTCCACTCATCATACTGCAGATTTAGAGAGAAAAATCAATAAGAAGGTTTTTCTCTGTATAAACCATGTGATATGTAGTCCCCCCTTCCCCGCCCCTGCTTTGAAACAGACATTGTTATTCCCAGAAGCATCTCTAATAAAACATGCTTTATTCTCTCGAGGATGGGGAGAAGGCTAAAGAGAGGCAGGGACCTCTGTGGCCCTCAGTCCTGCTCTCAACTCCTCCTCTCTCTTCCTTCTTGCCTTCCTGGTCATTCTCCTGGGCTGGGGATGCCCCATGGTGCCTGCCCTACTCTGGGAAGATGAGAGAAGAGCTGTTTGATTTTTCTTGAACATTCCCAATGTTTCAAGTTAGAACTTGAGCCTTGAAAGAAAAGGAAATCTTTGAAAATGGCTTCAATCACTTTCCATGATCACAAATAGACATCCAATCACCAGACTAAATACTTGTTCCATTTTAAACAGGGAAGAATCATTCATTCATTTGCATTCATTCATTCCTTGTGCCTGGTACAGCTCAGAGGAAAGGTATGCACATAGGGGATTATGAGTAGGCAAATAAGTGCTGTGTGGATCTAATAAGTTAGGAAAAGCATTAATAGATTGCTTTTAAGCATTTTTGATAGTTACTTTTGCTTTGAAAACTCAGTTTGACTTGGTAACAGAATACCAAACGAATTCAGGTAGTCACAGAAACACGTTATCTCCCTAGCCCTGACATTCTCCTTTCTTTTCTATTTAATCGAGTAGACTTGCCTCCACTTGTGCTTTAGCATCACCGAGTAACCACTTCAACTGGTCCTTTGTGATGTAGAAGGTTTCTTCCCCTTGGCCCTGCACCTACACTTTCACAACTAAGTGGCTTTTGTGGAGAAGAGATGGGAAAAAAATTTGCATCTCATGCTTGGTTATCTTTCCCAACCTCCAGTGGGTGCAGGGATGCCAGGTCCAGAACAGGTTCAGGGCACCCTCTGGGACCATTGATTTCCTCCCAGGTACCCCGTTCCCCCTCACTGCCTTCGGGCCGGGCGGAGAGCTGCCATATGGCTCCACCCTGCCCCATATGGCTCCATCTCCCTAGCAGGGGCGCTCGAGAACATAAAACGCTGCTGCACACTTTTATTGCAGCCCCTTCCCATTCCCCTCCATCTGCCTTCCATATGTTTATGTGACTCTGTCAGGCTCCTGCACACAGAGCCTTTTGTAATGAGGACTGCCGGCCGGACCAAGATAAAGAACTAGACTTCACCTCCCTCAGTGACAAGGAGCCTCCGTGACTTTCCATATGTGATTCCTTCAGCATTCAAACGACAACACACTCATACTCAGTGTCCTGCAATTTGTACACAAGATGTATTTTCTTTCATATTGATGATCTCTTTCAATTTTATCAACAAAAGCCACGTGGTGGCTCCTCTGTCGACAGCACTGTGCGCAGAGTTTTAAAGAACTGCATGTGACTGCCACATAGGCACCCCTGTTACATGCACGTCAATCTCAAGTTGACTTTCTTATTGTCCTAAAATTCTCCTTTGGTCAGAGAAGTCTTTACCATTTCCCCCCTCAAATGTCTGTAGAACATCTAAAGTGTGTCCTCCAAACTCTAAGAAAAGGAGAAGGAATGAGGAGAGGCTGACCCCAAATGGCGTCCCCTCCTGCCACCAGCGAATTGCCAGTATTCTGGTCCCAACTTGGGTCAGACCACTGCCTCTCGTCCTCTGAGCATGGGGCTGAAGTGACACTGTTGATCCCAGGATTGGTATAATTGATAAGAAAGTGGAATAGCAGTCACCAGACACCATGCACAGCACCAGTTCCCGACAGGAGGCAACTCCTGGCATGAGGAAGCGTAAGCGGGGTGATTTCTTACTCCCAGTGTTCGACAGCGGGAACTTGTGATTGGCCACCTTTCACAGGAAACCAATGGCAACAGGAAATAAAGAAAAAGAAATCAAGCGAGGCCTTGGGCTGGCTTTCATAATTTCTACCTTTCTCAATATGCCCTGGGCACAAAGTCTTGTGTTAAAGAATAAATTGGGGTGCTATTAAGGAGAAAGCATTTAATTCCCCGGACCTCTACACATGTTTAAAGGTGTCCTCTTTGTGGCAGGTGAGTTGCTGGTGTTCTAGTCCCAACCACCTGTGAGAGGCAGTCAGGTGATCAGTTCCCGGGCACCCTGGAGGTGCTCTCTGATGAAGGGGGACAGGGAGCGGTGCCCAAGCGCACAGACTATTAGCCAAAGGGCTCACAAAAACACCCGGCCAATGCCACGAGACTACATTTCTCCTTTGGCTTGTTTGTGTACAAATGACAACTACTGATCCCCCCCCCCCCCCGCCCCCCAAACATACCTGTGCAAAATAAAGTACTTATCTGAAATTTGAGATAAAACATAACATTACTGTAGGAAACCTGACTGGGTCATTTTGCTTTGTTTTCCTTACCCACCTACGTATCTCACACATCCTTGTTTCTCTTAATGCCCTTTGGAATGCAACAGAGAGCCAAACTTCAGTGAGTTAGGTTCAGGGAAACCTCTGGGATCCAAGGACATTCTTGCTCCCACCGATGCTGTCAGGTCATAATCCTTCCTGTCTGGGAAAACCTTCGGAGTTCCTTTGTACTGAGACAACTGACAAGTGCCTCTTCCTGCTGCAGTCAATACCCGATGATCGATGATCGCAAACTGGGGGCATCCCAGGTGCCCTGGTGGCAGCAAAAAGTGCCTTTGCGTCAGGGGATCGAGTTACCAGACTCAGGCTGTGGCCAGGAGCCTAGGCATGGGAATGATTGCCCCAGGCTGGAACAATTTACAAATCTGGGGAAGAGAAGCAAGTACTCACCCTCCTGTGAGAAAGACAGTGGGGCTAGTCCCTCTGTACATGAACAGTAGTGTTTGCAAGAGGGCAAAGGTGAGAGCGATACGGGCAAAAGGCAAGGGTTTGGATCAGTCAGACTTCAGTGAGTTGTAATTTCTGGACGGAGGGGCTGTGTGCATCCTATTCTGTACAGCAGGGCGTGCTCTGAGCGGCGTGCAAGCCACTTGGGAAAAGGCACAAGTTGCTCAGCTTATTAGTTGCTGAGCAGTTGCATTAACTGTGACATTTCCCTGGGAGGCTGCTCCCCCAGTCCAGAGCCCCCCACAGGCCAGGTGAATGCTCCTTAACCCCTTGACGGTCTGCATTTCTCCCCACTGAACACTGGCCTCTGGCCAGCTCTCTTTAGGTAAGGTCTGGTAAAAACTGCCCAAGAAACCAGAACATCTGCCTGCGTCTCCTCCTCTTTGTACAGCTACTTCCCCGGCAGCAGCCGCTCGGAGGATCTCCGTGTGTCCATTTAGTGGATTTAAACAAAACGGCACGGGTCCGAGGGAGGCACAGAGCATACGCTGGATCAGCGCCCCCCCCCCCCCCCCCCCCGGCAGGGTGGCCACAGCAGGAGGCTTGCTCCTAAGGATACACAGGGACAAGGGCAGCCGCTGCTGAGCCTGGAAGCAGGAGACAGCCCGGTCTTACCTGTTTCTTTGTCCTGGACTTCTTCCAGGTGCAAGTCATTCAAAAGATGCTCCAAGATCTTCTCGGGGGTCCCGGACACGACCACGTATCTGTCAGAGAGCAGAGAGTCCACCGAGTCATCCTCCGTGGAGGACTGCGAGCGGCTGCTCCACGCATCGTCCTCGTCCTCCTCGTCAATGTATTTGAAATAAGGCACATCGAAGGTGGGCAGGGGCAGCGGGCGGTCCGAGAGCCCCGTGCTGTCCTTCCTCTCCAAGTGCGGGTCTCGGACCCGCAGCCGGGAGCTGCCCATTGTGCCCGGCTCCTGACAAAGGCATCCCCTAAACGCTAAGAGATCTTGGCCATCTCGGGCTTTCCCTGGGAACTGAGTCCATCTGGCTGCCGAGAGCTCTGCAGTCAGCTAGAACGCGGAGAGGCGGGGAGAGAGAAAGGAGGGGGAGGAGAAGGAGGCAGAGGAGGGAGCGGGGAAGGGAGGCGGGTGGCGAGAGGAAGCGGGAGCCTGAGCTCGGAGGAAACTCACCTCCAATCGCTGTCAGCGCTCCCTCCTGGGGGGGCCGGGCCTCTGCGCTGCACCTTCCTCAGCACCAGGACGCTCTGCTCCTGCTCCCTGACTGTGGTCACCTCACCATCCTGCTGTCGTGGGGACGCGAGAAGGAAAACAGGAGAGAAAATTAAAAAGGAACTCACTAGAGCGGCATTTTCATGAGCTGCTTTGTGCCGTAATTTCTCTGAAGATTCGGAATAAATTAGGAGGCTGGCCAAGAAGCTCCCTCTTGGACAGTGTCCAGGCTCAAGTTCTACAGACACAGAAAGCGTGAGGGAAACAGAAATACTCTGAAGTGTTTTCATGTCACGAGGCCTTTGGGTCTCAGGAACTCCTGTGACAGCAGTAGAGCTAAGTGAGATGACCTTTATGCATGGGGGCAGAAAAGGGGCTAAAAAAATAAAGCAAACAGAAACCCCATAAAGTGGGGATAAGGATTCAGACTGTTCATTGTTAAAGCTACCTGAATGGTTTGAATGAAGGAACCCAAAGTTTCACAAAACACAACATATAAGTTGCATGGGGAATGCTTATTAAACAATCACTCTTTTAGAAGGGGAAATTCGTTTACAACATATTCTTTACAATTTATCTGTATTGCTAAAAGTATGACAGAAGTCCCCTTTAACCCTGAACCCTTCCCCCTCCCTGCCCTCCCTAGGCCTTCACTGCACTATTGTCTGTGCCCCGCTCCCCCAACCTCATTGAAACACAAAAACAATGAACAAGCCACATTAAATAGTGGTAGATAGGCATACTCAGTCACGTCACAGCCTCGCTTTAAAAGGTGGGCCTAAAGCGACCCGTTCAATCATTCAGTTCCATCCCCCTCCCCCCAGACTTGAAATGGGCCTTCCAATTTATAATATCATGTACTTGTTTTGCCAGAATGAAAGCAACAAGGGGTCTCTAGTAAGAATCTCATCTAGGCCGAGATTCGGATGTCATGGGTGAGTGCCCTGACTTTCTTCACCTCAGTCCCTTTGAAAAAGAAGAGAAGGAGGGACAATCATTCATTTCTGCACACGCAGCTCGCACAGCCCACAGCCAGCGTGGCCGCTGATGTGCTGTCCGAGTGGGCCCGCTGCTGACCCAGCAGTGTACCGCGGGCCCGGAGCGATGAACTCTCTCTCTGAGCGTGTCCTGTGAAATCCTCCCCATGTGCTACAGCCAGTCAGTGTAAGAGAGCCAAATGCATGTCAGAAATCCCAGTTTCTGTATATCTGAGGATTTGAGCAAAGAGATTAAAGCAAGAAAAGTTGATAGTAAAGGAGGCTTTATCTTAAAAATGATGTCTTTAACAAGGGAAACCTGTCCTCGGGTCCCCTGCATGTTTCTGCTGCTGACAGAAAATCCTGCCTTATAATTAAGTGCAAACATAAAGAGCAGTCTTCCCCATAGGAGAAGAGGCACTAGGTCTGGCCTGCCTTATTATCCATCAGTCCCACAGACCTACAGTATATTGTTCACCCTTCATAAGGAAAGCAGGGCACTCATCTTGTTATAACTGCCAACCAAATCAGTGATAAAATTATGATCTCAGCTCCCAGGATCCGGACTCCTAAGACAATGCAGTGTCCTAGTCGTTTGAGTCCTCCAGGATCTTCTTAAATACACACACAAAAAAATACTAGTCATTCTAAACAGCAACGTAATTTTACGATGATGCTTTTTAAATCTTTTGGTGGCAAATAATTTTCCTATGTAAAGCTGATGTATTACATTTCAGCAAGGTCAGACACACAGTTACTGTGGCAATTAATGTGGGATATTCATTGTTAAACTCCCCAAGGACAGAGCGCGATTCCTGCAACATGAATACCAATGTGTAATTGCTAGCTCTCATTTCTCCAAAGGGCTTCTTTTGTTATCCACAGGAAATAAGGTGGCCAAAGAGAGGGGCACATATTGAAAAAACGCAGGCTTGGGATACGGCGGCACACAGGAACAAATGATTTAGTAAACGGTAGGTTTGAAAGGAGAGAAATCTCCCCCAGGTTTCCCCCTTCTCAGAAGCTAATGCTCATTTTGCATGAGCCCACCGCCGTTCTGACATACGTTGTACATTCTCTGTGCACGTGATATATGGCGTTATTAACTTCCACGGGCCATGCACACACATATGGATGGGAAGGGCTTCCCTAATGTCTGTGCGACTAATATGCATTACAGGGCCGTGCACAGAGCAGCCACACTCTGCTGGGCAGGAGACGAGCTGCATCAAATTGATGTGCTATCAATAGCACCTAATGTCATAGTGATGGTTTCCATTTCGAAAACCTGTTAAAAATAAAGGAGAGAAAAAGCAGAAAAATCGATGTATAAAGGGAGATGTAAGTTATCTAAAATTGCCATAAAAACATGATCACCCTCTGTATCATAGCTGGCTCTCAAATAGGAAGGCTAGATGAATGCCTCCCGATCCCATACATCCTCCCCTACTTGCTCTTCCTGAAAAAAGAGCAGAAGTGGCATGGTTAGGGGTCTGGGTGTGAAACTTTATTCTAGTGCTTGCTTGGTTAAGAAGAACAGTATTTAGAGAACTAATGATGGGAAATCATTATTGTTCAATGACAAGTAGCTCATAGATGCTAGTAAGGCATTAAAACATAAGATGCAAGTAAAGCATTAAAACACTTAATTTACAGTTACTTATTCAACAAACAATGAGGATCTCACATGGTAAGGGCACTGTGCTGGCCACCAAGTGGCAGGCAGAGATGAGTAAACAAGTCCCCTGCCCTTAAATGACAAGTTAAGATGCTCCATAACAATGTAAGTCTAACTTAGCACCCAAAGATGAGGCCAAATGTAAGAGACAACTCAAAGCTATAACCCAGGGGATTTGATGGTCAAAGATGACTGTGGGTGACAGAGAATGAGATGCCATTAAATGGGGCAAAAAATGTAAAGAGAACCTGGTTCTGGTGAGAGTGGTGAACTGTTTCAGACACTTGGTGTTTCGGGAATGCTAACACATGCTGTCAACATGTTTAGCAGACAGAAGTAAAGAACGAGACCCCTGGACAAAGGTCAGGGACAGAGACAAATCTGTGAATTATTCAAGGTTGAGGAGTGGATGGGATTGTTAGGAGGGAACAGGAGAGAGAGGGTGAATGCTTTATAAAGGTAAGGATGAAGAGAAAAGACACAGAAAGCCGGGGGTTAGCGGTAGGGATTAGGAGTCATGGAGGAAATCTAGGGACAGAGATTATGAAAAAGTAAAATCAAGACGAGTCGGGAGAACCTGGAGGGTGCTTTCTCAGGAAATTCAAAGAAAAAGCTCTCTGACGCTGCCGAGTTCACAGAGAAGGTAAGTCCAAGACAAAGAGATGAAAAGATCACTTAAGGTCCAGTGGTGGGGAGAGCGGTGTGGAGGTGTGAGTGAATGGAGAGGGAGTGAACCAGGTATAAGGAATGTCTTCATGAAAGGGAGTCAGACCAAAGAGCCTGCATGGCTGGGCAGGCAGTGGAGAGTGGGTATGGAGAAGATGTGACAGGTTCAGGAGCACAGTGGAAGGGTTAGGCTATAAAAGGACTAAGACTTCATCCTTTCAGAAAGGATCATGAGAAAGAGGATGGATGAAGATTTTTAAAAAAATATATATTTTATTGATTTTTTTTTTTTTAACAGAGAGGAAGGGAGAGGAATAGAAAGTTAGAAACACTGATGAGAGAGAAACACCAATCAGCTGCCTCCTGCACACTCCCTCCTGCGCACAACCAAGGTACATGCCCTTGATTGGAATCAAACCTGGGGCCTTTGAGTCCGAAGGCAGATGCTATATCCACTGAGCCAAACTGGTTAGGACTGGATGAAAAATTAAAAAAAAAAATAAGTAGAGATAATGAGGAAGCTTAGGTAGTTCTAGGAGATGGCTTCTATCTTCTTAGTACAATAGGAACCAAGAACATCGTATAGATCTTTGTGCCTAAGGAGATGATTGGAGAAAATGGGCTCAGAAGATGGTGAGGTAGGAGACAAGAAAGCTACTGAGGGAAGTGGAAGAGTACCACTGACTAGAGGTCAGATGACCTGAGCGAGTGGCAGAGACCTTAGGAATGAAAGGACTTCTGTAGTGACATCAATGATACAAAAGGTGAGATGGGGTACAGTGTATATTCCCAGAAGGCACCATGCTTCATGCCTTGGCCCATGGTTGGAATATGCTGTGAGAAACTCCCTTCTCTCCAAAACATACATTAACCCTCAGGTATGCATAAACCAGTTCTTGCCCTACTTTCTTAAAGGGATGGTGGGAGGAACAGGAAACTTCTACAATAAACAGGTGTCCTCAACTGAAGGAGGGGGGAGGATGCATCAAGGGTATTTGAACATCAAGGGCTATCAGAAGTATGAGGGCTTCTGAGTTTTCCCTGCTCCTCATCTTTGTTCCATTCATTGGGTGAGTAACTCCGATTTCTTTTCTTTCTATGGCTACACTTCTCTTCTGCCCATGAATTTTGAATGAATAATAGAACCAGTACCTTTGACTTACTGTAGAGTCACTTCCATGATCATGATCAGCTTTTGTACTTTGAAATAAAACTTTGTTCTTTCATTTACTCACATAAAAGACATACTTATTTTAAGATGAAAATACCTATGGGGCAATAAAAATACTGATTGTTTTTCCTAAACAAAAATTGGTGTTCCCAAGTTAGCAGGTCTTACTTTGGCTTGAACCATGTTTCGGTCTGTATTTATATTTCCATTTACCACCAACACTAACAAGAGAAAGTGATTGCTAAGGGACTTCTCAGCCCTGCTGGCATTGCCACAACTGCTTCCTTGAGTTTTCCATTAGCAGAGATAATGGAAAATATTCCTCTCCCAAGCACTCCCATAAAGCAGCCTCTGGCACTCTCCATGGCCTCATGTCCCTGCAGCTCTGTGAGCATAAACTCTTATAAGAGGGCTTAAGTAGGGTTTTGTGGATGGGCTTTAGGGACGCAGAGGACTCTCTGAAAGCATATAACATTTTTTCTAAGCAGAGCTCAGAATTCTAAGTCTCACTGAATCTATGCACCCATAGATCTATGGCACAAACCACCCCATACCCAGCAACTCATATTTATTACCTCATCT